AGGGCCTCTTCTTACTACAATGTATTTTATCAATTGGAAGCAGTGGTTCTCAACCAGGGATACACGTACCCCTGGATGTACGTAGAGGTCTTCCATGGGATAGACCATCTAGATATTTGCCTAGTTTTCAACTCATCTAGATATTTGCCTAGTTTTACAACAGGCTACGTAAAAAGCACTAGCAAAATCAGTACAAACTGTAATTTCATACAGACATTGATGTGTTTATATTGCTCTATATACTAGATCGGTATTTCTCAATCTGGGTGTTGGTGACCCCCATGGGGTTGTGGGATGGGTTTGAGTGGGGGAGTTGCAAGTGCAGGGCCAGCACTAGGGGGTGGCAAGCAGGGCCCCTGCGAAGCTAAGATATACATGCTTAAGTCAAAGCCTGAGCCCTGCCACTCGGGGCTGAAATCAAACTCCTGAAAGGGGTAAAGTAGTCTGGAAAGGTTGAGAACCACTGATATGAAGAACAGAGATATTTGTAAACCAGTCCTTTGATGTGATCTTTTAAAGCTCTTGTGATAATATCAGCACCCAATAATTATGTCAGGAATCAGTTCTAGTGTAACCATATACAATTAACAGAAGTATTGGGAGCATAAGCTTTCGTGGGTAAGAACCTCACTTCTTCAGTGAGGTTCTTACCCACGAAAGCTTATGCTCCCAATACTTCTGTTAGTCTTAAAGGTGCCACAGGACCCTCTGTTGCTTTTTACAGATTCAGACTAACACGGCTACCCCTCTGATACATATACAATTATTTTCCCACGCCATTTAAATCTGCTCTCTCTTCTGGGTTTACAAGGAGACACATTGGCTCTCTTGGGCACCACAAGTACCAGAAATCTCATGCTAACCCTCCTGGTGGCTATAAGGTCTCATCTGACATCTGACTCTTCTGGTATCTGTAGTATCACAGAATGATGAATATGGGGCATCATTAGCAAACCTGTAAAAACAGATTTCATGGCAGGAGGATAGTGATTTTAAAGAATTTTTGGAAAGTAAATTAAAACGGATTTCTGTGCTCAATCTCCTGTGCCCAGCCCAGTTAGCAGGGATGGTCAAGTCACATTTCTCAGCTTGCCTGCCATTCCATTTTCTCTTTACAGTTCACTTTTAACTAGAGATGGACCCAAAACTAGGACACAGAATCCAAACAACTCAGAAACATGAGGAAGATCAGATCTAGGCCCAGATTTCACCTTCACAGCTCAAGTTTATTTTTATGAATGGCCAGTTCAGAATTCCGAATCCCAACACTCTTGTGATGTGGCTTGGGTTTGGATCTGAAGTTTAGAAACTTGAATTTGGATGGAAGCTTCACAACTGTCCCACTTTTGCTATTAACATTATAAAGTTTAATAGTGTGACTTTCCAGTTCTGATTAAATATATTCTGTCATTGAGGCACCAATCCAGCAAACTCTTAATCATATGCTCACTTATAAGCATCTGAGTAGTCCCATTGAAATCAGTGCAACTGCTCAAGTGCTTGAACTTAAGCATGTTTAAGTACTATGCTAGAGTAGGGCCTCTAGAAAAAATGAAATAAAATATTGTCACAGTTTCAGGGGAACTGCTCTTGTATTCCCCCCATCTCCCCCACAACCCTCAGCTCCCCTGGTCCATGCTGCCTCCTCCAAAGCTGATTGCAAAGAGTTACAACGGGATCTCACAGAACTGGGTGACTGGGGAACAAAATTGCCCCATCACAAAAAAGATCTATTAGAACTGGAACAGCTACTGAGAAGGCGGCGGGTGGGAGGGGAATGATTAGGGGCATGGAACAGCCTCTATATGAGGAGACATTAAAAAGACTGGGACTTTTCAGCTTGGAAAAGAGACGACTCAGAGAGATATCATAGAAGTACATAAAATCGTGACTGGTGTAGAGAAAGTGAATATGGAAAGTGTTATTTACTCCTTCAGATAAACACAAGAACCAGGGGTCACCCAATAAAATTAATACGCGGCAGGTTTAAAAACACACACAAGGAAGTACTTCTTCACACAATACAATGGAACTCATTGTCAGGATGTTGTGAAGGCCAAAACTGTAACGGGGTTAAAAAAAGAACTAATGGAGGTTAGGTCCATCAATGGCCATTGGCCAAGATGCAAGATGATCAGGGATGCAACCCTATGTTCTGAGTATCCCTAGCCTCTGATTGCCAGAAGCTGGGAGTGGACAACAGGGGATGGATCACTTGATGATTGCCTGTCCCTAGGAAGCACCTGGCATTGGGCAGCGTTGGAAGACTGGGCTAGATGGACCATTGGTCTGACCCAGTATGGCCGTTCTTATGTCCAGGTTTTTAGTGTCTAGGAAAGTTATGAATTTAAGCACTCAGGCTCATCTTTTGAAAGTGTTGTGCAGGTTTCTTTGAGGATGAGGACAGATAGGTCAGATATAGAGTGATTGCTTTCTGAAAAGTGTTCACGCATAGGTAATAGGTTGTTTTTATCTATCATTTTCCTGTGTGAGTTCATTTGAGAGCATAGCGAGGGTCTGGTTTCACCCACATATTTGTTATTGGGGCATTTAGTGCACTGGATGAGACATACCACATGTTGTGATAGGCATGCGTACGATCCATGGATCTTGAAAGGTGTGTTGTGGGGGGTGTTGCTCATTGTAGCAGTGGAGATATGTCTGCAGGTTTTGTATCTGTTGTTATGGCAGGGTCTGGTGCCACTCTGAGTTGGTGTGTCCTGGTCTGTGGGGCGCTTGCTCCTGATGATGAGCTTGTGATGTTGGGGGGGGATGTTGTTTGAAGGTCAGGATTGGGAGGTTCAGGAAAGATTGTTTTAAGGATGGGGTCCCAATTGAGTATGGGTGGTAGTTTGATATCCTGTATGAGTTCCAGTGTGGGGTGGTAGGTGACAGCTATGGGCGTGCAGTCAGAGGGGGGTTTATTTCTGAATTGAAGCAGGTTCTCTTGGGGGCATTTGGGCGGCAAGTTCCATGACACAATCTACTTCTCTGGTGCAGTGTCCTTGTTTGGCGAAGGCAATTTTAAGTGTATTAAACTATATATCCTGAACTTTCTCCTTGGAGCGTATTCTGTGGTATCTGAGTGCCTGGCTGTAGGTAACAGATTTCTTGGTGTGTTTGGGATGGTTACTGGATCTATGAAGAGTAGGTGTGGTGATCCGGGGGTTTCTTGTACATGGTTGTCTATAGGGTTCCATTGTTGAAACTGATTGTGGTGTCCAGGAAGTTGATGCTAGCATGGGAGTGTTCCAGAGAGAGTTTAATGAGTGGGTGGTGGTTGTTGAAGTTTTCGTGAAAATCTATTAGAGAGTTTAAGCTATCTGTCCAGAGGATGAAAAACATCATTGATGTATTATTGGTTTCATGGTGCATTGGTCCAGCAGTAGTTCTTCAAAGGTGGCCCATGAAGAGATTGGCATATTGGGGAGCCATCCTAGTACGCATGGCTGTTCCCATGGTTTGAACAAAATGTTTGTTATTGAATGCAAAATTGTTATGAGTGAGGATGAAATGGATGAGTTTGATGATGTGTTTGGAGTGGATATCTGAGGATTGTCCATTGTCTTGTAAATATTTGAGGTAGGCAGCTATGCCATCATTGTGAGGGATGTTGGTTTACAAGGAAGTGACATCCATGATGACGAGGCTGGTGTTCTGAGGGAGGCTGTTAATGTTGCGGACTTTGTGGAGGAAGTCAGTTGTGTCCTGGATGAAGCTGGCCCTTTGTGTGATGAGTGATTTGAGGATGGGTTTTATGAGTCCCGATATTCCTTCACTAAGGGTGCTGTGGCCAGATATGATGGGTCTTCCTGGGTTCCCTTGTTTGTGTATCTTGGAAGCATGTAGAAGGTTGCTTGGGTGGGTGGGTGAGATTGTGGAGTTCCTCTTGTACTTGTATGGAGAAGGATTTGATGGTATCCTTAAATTCCTGAGTAAATTGTGGTGTGGGGTCTTTATAGTAGGTGGTGTAGGAAAGTTGTCAGTTGACCTCATGGTTGAGGACTACAATGGCGCACTTTTTGTTTGCCAGTTTGATCACTATCTGGTGCTCAGATTTTGGGTACTATATGGCTGTTCTTTTGGTGGGTGGAGAGATTATGGTGGATGTGATGTTTGTCAAGGATTTTGCAGTTAATTTTTTTTCCTGAAGCAATCACTGTAATGATCAAGAGTGTGGGTTTCTGCACTCTGAGCTATCCAGTCAGAAGATTCTTTTTTCTTAAATTGTCGGTGAGGACATGGCAATTGTGAGTGGTGTCATCATTCTTGTGAAAGAATTCTTTGAGGCGGAGACAGTGGAACAATTCTTTTAGTTCTCCACAAGTTAGCATGGTATCAGGTTCTGTGGTGTTTAACTATGTTATTTGTTTGCAGTAGCACCTAACAGTCCCAACCAGGATCTGAAGCCTGTTTTGCCTAGTGCTCTGCAAATACAGAGTGAGAAGTCAGTACCTGCCCTAAAGATCTAGACAAGGCAGACAAAATGTTGGAGAAATGAAGCATTATTATCTCCATTTTGCAGACAGGAACTTAGCACAGAGAGGTTTAGCAACTTGCCTAAAGTCACATAGAATGACTGTGGCAGAGCCAGAACTGAAAGCTGATCTTGAATCTTAGTACAACACTTTACCTACAAGACCTTCCTACTTGGATCCAGTATTTATATAAAGTTTTATTTCAGATGTACTTTATCAGAGTGGGGGTTGATTTTTGTTATTTTTTGCTAACTTTTCCTTCCATTCTGAGTGTTTTGTCTCCTCCAGATGTTAATTGTCCTAACTATGGACAGCAACTGCAGGGGCTTATGGGCAACTGGCACAGCACCCAAGAAGTTATGCAATTTCTCGCTTGGGCCTGTTCAGTGTTATAACCATTAACCCGTTCAGTTATGGACGGCGTTTGTTGCAGCAGAGAAATACCCTTAGTTCAGAAAAGCGATCTAGTCTTTGAGTGCAGTTCTTCTTGTTTAAGCTACTTACATGTTTGCTTTAAAACAGATGGATGACACTAGAAGATTTCAACTGCTTATTTGGGAAAGGCAGCAGGATGAGCGCTTGGAAAGCATCACATATTGCACACTCTGCTATGGTAAGGCTGCTCATTTCACTTAACCAAAATCAGTGCTAGTTGTGCCTGTTGTTGTATCCATGCGCTGATGTTCACAGCAACAAATCCTCCGGATATTAGTGCAATAATTTTCTAGCCAAGATAGATAGTAAAAATTAGAGATAAGAAGAAAAATGCTGTTTAATTGTCCTCTGCGTGGTAAAAGAAATGATTAAATTTGGCATTTTCCTTCTAGTGGAAGTTACTCAAAATAGAGTTATGCTTCTGGGAAAGGAGGCTCGTTTACTGTAACTTCCACATTTCAAGCAGGGAGAAGGAAGAGGGAGTTGATGGACAGATATATTTAGGAATGACAGCCAACAGTCAGATTAAAAAATAGAGTTTGTTCCAGTATCATTTATTTTGTTTAGGTTTCAAGGAAAGAAAAAACAGATGAGCTCTTCAACACATGTTGGCTATTTTCTTTTACCACTGCTGTGTTATGTCCCATGAGATCTCAGAACATAATCTAGAGGGAGTCCGTCAGTATAGTTTATCAGACCAACTTATAAGAGCTTTCAAAATATTTTTTAAGACAAACTTTTTAAATGAAAAAAAAATAGTCTCACTTCAGTTTTAAAGTGATTGCTTTTGTTACACTGTAAAATAGCTTACAGTTCAATGCTTCCTGCCTAGATAAATGCAAACCAGATACAAACTGTGAAGTGACCGTTCCCCCACCAGTCATGGTGAACATGGACATCACTTATGTCATGGACAGCTCTGACAGCATTGACAGTGATGAGTTTGAGAGAGCCAAAGACTTTGTGAGTACCATGCTCGATCACTTTGTTATCACCTCACAGCCGAGGGGATCGGATGAAGGGGCGAGGGTGGCACTGGTGCAGCAGGCTCCTCGAAGCTTTATCTCCAACAGAAACACAAGCCCAGTGAACAAAGAGTTTGATCTGATCACGTACAGTGGTAAAAATTTGATGAAGAGACATATCCAAGAATCTGCTCACCAGCTGGAAGGGCCATCTGCCATTGGTCATGCTCTGCAATGGACAATTGACAATATATTTTTCAAAGCCCCCAATCCGAGACAACACAGGGTCATATTTACAATACTTGGAAGTAAGACGAGTTCGTGGGACAGACAGAAACTGAGAGAGGTCTCACTGAAAGCCAAGTGCCAAGGATTCATCATGTTCACCCTAGCACTTGGAAACGATATTACCAGCAGCGAGCTGACAGAGCTTTCGAGCTTCCCAGCAGAACAACATCTAGTGCAGCTGGGCAGGGTTCTGAAACTTGAAATGGCATATGCTCAGAAGTTTAGTCGTGTCTTCCTAAACCTCCTAAAACGTAAGTAGCACACAATCCAACTTACTTCTGTTACTGAAGCAGTGAGAAATGCTTCACCATCAGTCATGAGAAGCGCAAGAATTTCTAGTAAAAGAAGTTTTTGAGCTTTTATAGTGTCATGCTTAGTGTCGTCAGACATCACAGTGTGGTGCTCTGCTCTGTTCAATGTTGATAACAGTCGGCTGCGTATGTGTGTTCCCTCTGTGTGCTGTCCTGGCTCTGCGCAGATAGCTGACACAGCAGACCTGAGAGAACCCCCAATGACCACAGACTCTGATAAGGTACGAAGGCACCCAGCCAGGTTTATTGTCAAATGAAGCACAGTAATAGTTTCCCGCAGACTCTACAGGATATACTACGAATATGTGCCCCCGACAATGGACCGGCTCAGTCAGTGACGGGACTCTCCACTGCCCCCTAGGCCAGACAAAGATATCCACTCAGGGATGCATTCTTATACACCGGTACAAACAAGTTATACATCACTCCTGACGCATCGAGGTACAACCCCTCTGCGTGTTGGGGGTGCTGCCTCTCTCATGATACACGTTGGTTCGAACAAACAACTCTATCCATCATATTATCCTTTGGACCCTGTCTTTAGGATGGGTCAGCCTGTTCCTCATTATCTCTGTGGAATGTGTTCGTACCAGAATGTTCTGGTGCCGTCCTGGCACATGTTCATCTTACTAGTACTTGATACCTTTTAGATATGTGTATATGTGCACTTAGCAGCCTTCCTATTGCCAACTTCTGTGAGTAGGGCCTGCCTCTGGCTCACAGCTTAACTTTGCTTTACAATAGCAAAGTCTTGACCATTACTTTAGTTCAGGCCTCAGGCCTCATACCAGGCCTCTGATACAAGGGTTTATGTTTCAGGGCCTCATCTTACTACATTCCCCCTCTTTTTGTCTTTTTATGGGGAGGATGTTTACCCATTGTCCCAGAAAAGCATAATGCATGGACTCAGGATAACCCAGTGGGCTAAACACTGTTATGTGGTTACCTTATTTTACCATCCATAAACTCATGCCCCACCTGTCTTTAGACTGCACATTCCCTCGTACAACTGATGGACAGATTTTATTTTCCAATTGATTGTAGTCCCTTATAGTGGGCATGGGAATGTTAGGCCCGAGACCATGACTGAGGAATGTAGTAGTATGATTGAGCCATAGAGGTAATTCCAAATAATTAATATATATGAATAATATGGATATGGCATATATATTTGTAGCATATATGGGTATATATATATATAGTATGTATGTGTACATATGACACCGCCTTATATCCAAGCATAACCATGTTTTTCCAGTCTGGTATTGTACTCTATCCCTTTTACTTTGGTGACACAGATAGAAACACACTCCTATTACGGTAATTGCAGTTATCACTTGTACCGTCATTAGTAGTAGGCTAGGGTAACCAGACAGTAAATGTGAAAAATCAGGACGGGGGTGGGAGGTAATAGGAGCCTATATAAGAAAAAGACCCAAAAATCAGGACTGTCCCTATAAAATCGGGACATCTGGTCACCCTATAGTAGGCTGAGTGTTTTTGAAATAGGCATTGTTATAGTGTGTTCCACAGTATTATGTATATGAGAACTAAAACAGAAATTTGGAGTAGTGACACTACAAATGAGGCCTTTATATATAAATGTCCTGTAATTAGTTTCTACCCAGTACTGTGCATTCATATTATGGGTTTAACTTACTGCTGGTTGTCACCCTCTGGTAAGCTTTGCTGGGCAGGAAACAGGAATGGCTAGCTTCTCTGTTCCACGGATTGCATTGCCCTGTGGTACACCAGTAGTTGACGTAGATCCAGTTATTTTTATGGATGTTGTTTTTCAGAAAACCTACTGAGTGGACAATAACCAATTCCTCAAATATTGCTGTGTCAGGATGTAGTATTGGTACCCAGACACTGAACAAAATTGTTTTGAATAACATGTGCCTCAGTTAGGATGCAGTGTTACTGATCCCAAATTGTGACCAGTACTAACGGGGAATTCTATATACCTCATTTGTAGTTACTGTGTAACAATTTTTTTTAACCAATTTGATTCTCCTGGCCTTCATGTTGTTTGCTGCCATTCCTTTGTTTATTTTTACCTGTGTGTTGGTTCAACAGTTTAGCAAGGTTATGCACATTGTAAATGTTGTACAGCAATAATACAACAGTACAACAATATTATAGTTGTTTTTACCCAGTAACCAAGTTGAAATTAAATGACAGTTTATCCTGGTCCAGCAAGTGGTTTTTAGCTGATTGTTAACTTAATTGTTCATATATGCTAGATAGAGGTGTATTTGACCAGTCTCTTATTTATGCAGCACTTCATTTTTCTTTTCTTGATGCTTGGGGGTTTCTTCACTGTATACTAATATTTTCTGGTGTCTTCAGGTTGTGATATTTTCTTTGGTCTATGGGATGCAACAACTTTTGTTAGTTAACATAGTAAAGTTTTTTGTTTGTTTTTGTTTTCAGTAACCCAAACTTAATACAAAGTTTAACTTTGTCCATATTACATTGTAAACAAACTATGTAATAGGGACCGAGTCTTTTATAACACAAGCTATACTTTTGCAATTGTTGTGTAGACATTCATTTTCATTTGAGCTGCATTACTAATATTTTATACTAAATGTAATGCTTAACTGCTAAAATAAATGCTCACAATCTTCTGTGAGAAGGTGTATTGCTTTTTTTCCTGCTGAACATTCTGTGTTAGTAAAAGAGTTAATAACATAATTTTCACCAAGCTTTTTAGAGTTAATTTGCTTGTGATACCAATTTCACTCTTGTTAACTGTTTAGAAGCACAAACTTTAACAACCACGGCTTCCCATTAACATAACATAACAAAAGAAAAGCGTATAAAATTAAACCAACTATAACATTAAACCAAAATAAATTTTAAATACAGGTCCATGCAAATACTTTGAGGGTATTAAACTTTCATGATGCTTGTTGTGTTTAGGAGCCAAAGGTGGAAACCTGTTGAAAATGTGGAAACCTGTTGAAATTGTTTGGTTAGCTTTATGCATAAATTGTTATTTTTAAACATTTTTGCTATCACATTCTTATAACTATATTTAAAAGTGCAAACAAGTTTATAAAAACCCAAACAAGAAATTGACATTTTATTAATATCATCTTTACCTTAATGTTGAGGTTTCCCCTTCATTTTTTCTTTGAATAACAAATAAAAAAAACTTTAAAACCAAAACAAAAATGTGATTAATAAAATAATTATTTTTGTTTGCAATTGCATTATTTGTTGAGGCAGAAATATATGTAAATATATTTGTAACTGAAACCTTTTTGAAATTTGCAAAAAAAAAATTGGTGTTAATAATACTATGATTATACCCCAACCATGATCTTAAAATAGTGTAGTACCACATATACATATATTTTTAAAATGGAATAAAATTGACTTTTGTTGCAACAAAATAAAAATAAAAAAAATCACGTGACACACACAACATACAACACAGGAGAACACACATGATATACAGGACAAACTTAAATTAAAAACAAATGGCGCCAGAATTCTATTCATAACTATACAAAATAAGGCAAACAAAAATAAAAATGGTTAAACATTTGAATAAACAAGTTATTACTTCATTTAAAACTTTTAACAGAAACTGATAAAAATATATTAATATTTGCCAAATGTATTGTATTAATTTGGTAACAAGGAATTTTGCATTACTTCATATTTAACATTATTTTAAAACTCTGCTATATGGAAATAAGAAAAGCCCATGTTTCAAATATTAGTGAGTGGCTAGGATTAGAAGCAATGTCCATTTCTGTTGCTTGGCAACCATATCTTCAAGAAAGTTAGGAATAATTCCAGCTGTTGCATTCCTGAAGGGTTAAAATAATTAATTTACTGGATTTATTTAAAGTAAAGTTTTTATCTTATTTTCTTTGTATTTCTTGTTTTCTTCTGTTTTCAATTGCTTTATCTTTTCGAGGTTTCTGTAAAAACTATAACTTTTAACACAGAGAAAGAGTCAAAGTAAGGAGAGGCAGGGAAAAAGAGGGTGTGGGGGGGGTGAAGAGCTACCTAGGAAGGTAGTGAGACTTGAGCCAAGAGAGATTAACTCTTAAGTTACAGGCAGCAGCAGCAAGTGTAGCAAACTGATAAAGGATATAAAAGAAAACATACTGATATGTAAAAATATTTGAGAAAGGAGGTTATATTTTTAGCTGAGTGTGGAGTGTGGTTCCGTGTGTGAAAGCAGTTGGGAAACTGCACTTTGGCTTTTTATCCTGGCTCTGAGATGAGAGTGGGGGTAATTATCTGCTCTTGTAAAACCTGAATTTGTTCCCCCAGTGGCTGTTGCTTTTGTCTGCATGCCAAACAGATTGAAGGAATGCCCTTTTTTTCCTGCAGTTAACTGTTGTTGGGCAACTCCATATGTTAATGCATCAATTTTAGGTGTTAACCTGCTCAATTTTAGTTTTTGACTTTGAAATTCCTTTTTATTCACTCCCCTGCGAGTGAGTCGCAGCTCCTGTCTTGTAATGTGCTCTGTGAACTGTTCCATTCTTTCCTTCATTTGATTTACCAATTCAGTGAAAGTATTGTGTGCTACTTTTTCCATTTGTGCACGAGTCTAGGTCCCGGTTTATGTTTTACCAGAACCTGGCTTTTATCATAAGGTAGTGGTTGTACTGCAGTGGACCCTGTTTCATCTTTTAATTTTACTAGGGCCACCTTTTTCCACTTCTCTCCCCATTCTTCAGGCACAGAGTAGCTACCTGAAGCCTGCTGTTTACCATCAATATTTATAACAGGGGATGGCACATGTATTTTTTGTAGGTTCCTTGCAGCTGTTTCCAATGTTTTATTTTGTTCCTGTGCTGGTTGTCTCTGGGCTGCTTGCCTCCCTGCAAGGGGGGTGGGAGCATTCAAGGGCTTTGTAGCTTCTTTTGATTCTTGTAACTCTTTCTTTGTTACTGTTACTTGCCCCAACAATTTTGTGGCGTGCTGCTTTAACCATTTAACAGCCATGGTTATAGTTTGCAATATTTTATATTTTAAGGCTACAGTCTCTGCCCTAGCCTTACAACTTACATTACGTGTTTCTTTCCCATTATATTTTTTAAACTCTGTGGGGATTTGCAGGGAGGGATTAAGGGGGCTCCCTAGCTTGTGGTTAGATCACGATTCCCACAGCGGACAACTCGCTTACTCACCAGATCAGCGGTCGGGGTCACCAATGTAGTCAGACGTCACCAGTGGGGTGCTCTGCTCTGTTCAATGTTGATAACAGTCGGCTGTGTGAGTGTGTTCCCTCTGTGTGCTGTCCTGGCTCTGCGCAGATAGCTGACACAGCAGACCTGAGAGAACCCCCAATGACCACAGACTCTGATAAGGTACGAAGGCACCCAGCCAGGTTTATTGTCAAATGAAGCACAGTAATAGTTTCCCGCAGACTCTACAGGACATACTACGAATATGTGCCCCCAACAATGGACCGGCTCAGTCAGTGACGGGACTCTCCACTGCCCCCTAGGCCAGACAAAGATATCCACTCAGGGATGCATTCTTATACACCGGTACAAACAAGTTATACATCACTCCTGACGCATCGAGGTACAACCCCTCTGCGTGTTGGGGTGCTGCCTCTCTCCTGATACACGTTGGTTCGAACAAACAACTCTATCCATCATATTATCCTTTGGACCCGGTCTTTAGGATGGGTCAGCCTGTTCCTCATTATCTCTGTGGAATGTGTTCGTACCAGAATGTTCTGGTGCCATCCTGGCACATGTTCATCCTATTAGTACTTGATACCTTTTAGATATGTGTATACGTGCAATTAGCAGCCTTCTTCTTGCCAACTTCTGTGAGTAGGGCCTGCCTCTGGCTCACAGTTTAACTTTGCTTTACACTATCAAAGTCTTGACCATTACTTTAGTTCAGGCCTCAGGCCTCTGATACAAGGGTTTATGCCTCATCTTACTACACTTATGTAACCCCCAAGGAGATTACCTAGATTCCTGGGGCTCTGTCTGCTGGCAGCTCAGGGAAAGGCACACTGTCCCTGGTAGGGAGGGGAAGCCAAGGCAAACTCAGAGCCTGCCCGGCAACCAATAGGGAGTGAGATGTCCCTCCCAGGGAGTTCAGGAAAGGGAAGAAGCCATTTTTGAGTCAGTCTGCAGCCAGCCAGGGCAAGGGCAGGACTGGCTGTGTGGGGAACTAGTAAGACTAGGGTGACCAGATGCTAAGATGCTAAGTGGAAAATATCGGGACCGCTGCGGGGGGGGGGGGGGGGGGGGGCGCCTTTTTAATTGTTACACTCACCCGTCCGGGTCTTTGGCAGTAATTCGGCAGAGGGTCCTTCAGTCGCTGACGGTCTTCGGTGGCATTTCGGCGGCGAGTAATAAGCCGCCAAAGACAGAAGCCCCCGCCGCCGAAATGCTGCTGAAGACCGTCAGTGACTGAAGGACCCTCCACCGAATTGCCGCCGGACGGGTGAGTGTAAAAAAACAAAAAACCCCGAAACAAAATATCGGGACACATGGCGTCCCTACTGTACTTCGGTCGGGACGTGGGACAAACACCTCAAAATTGGGACAGTCCTGATTTTATCGGGGCGTCTGGTCACCCTAAGTAAGACCCAGGCCTACATGCAGGGTTCCCCCTGAGAACTGGCCTCTAGGGACCTGAAAGCAAGATCCCTCAGCTGGGCTTTTCCTTCTCCACTGATGTTCCCCAGTTTGTAGAGTTTTACTGGGAAACTCCCCCAGCCAGGCTGACTTAGCCCTCCAGCTCCCTAGGTGAGACCAGTCACCACATGGTCAGCTCTGCTCTGTCTGCTAGTTCAGGACTGTTGCCTGCTATGTGTGTGTCTGGATACTGGGCTAGGAGACTACAGTTTGGATTTTAGTATGGTTGTGTAATCTGCACCTTGAGCCTGCACCCCTTTGTGGTGAGGGGAAATCCTGGGACTGAAGCAGCCTGATTCCTGCCTGAAGAGGATCCCTGCCAGCAGAGATCAGCCTCTCTGTAGTGACTGAGGAGTCCAGAGTCATCTCTGAACCTGAGGATCATTCGTGGAGTTTGTGAGTGTACCATCTTTGAGTTAGTCAGTCAGGGAATTTGTTTTGGGAACTCCCTACTCCCTGAACTGTGTCCTCAAGCCAGGGAGTGAGGGTTTGGGGATTTTTATAACCTGCTGCATATTAAACCTGTGGATGGATTTACCACCTTCTCCCCTTTGTGAGTCCTTTGGGCTGTACTGAACCCAGTCAGCCACACTGCTAAACCACTGCAGAGAAGAATTTTGTGGTCATAGGTCATCAAGGTCCCCAACAAAGTACGCGTACCAATGGGACACTGATCTTACATTTGCTACATCAAGTCATGTGAATGCGGAAAGTCCCAGGTATTAGCAGCGTGGGCACCGGTGAACCTAACAATAGTGTTTTACCCTGTTATGTTATATTTGTCTCCTGTTTAATTATTGTGTTGAATATATTCTATGTGTTTGTGTTATTTCTTGGAAGTCTCCAGCTATCTGGCAAGTAAGTGGGAATTACCCTGTGGTTAGAATTTTCCTCCCAAGCTGCCCTGGTGACCCTGCCAGGAAGGAACGAGAGGGGTGGAGGCACCGCCAAATAAATTCATAGGAAAAAATAAAGAAGATACACTCTGCTGAGTGAGTGGCGAGATCAAAAAGAACCCAGACCTGTCCATCAAAACCTGTAAACAGATTGGCATTAAAGAAGGTAACTGGGTGGAGAAGGGGCACTACACTTAGTATACAAAAGAAGGTAAACTCCATTCTGATACTATAGTGATGAGCACCATAGAAATACCTATAATACAAAACATTACATTCTAATGATGTCTTGGGTCAAATTCTGAGGTACATTTTTACACATGCAATCCCCTTGACTTTCCTCTTCCCTAAAGAAGAGGATCAGGTGTGCAGTCAAGGAAGAACTAAGTTCTATTCCTGGTTTTACTGCAGACTTCCTCTGTGACTATTGGCAAATCACTTACTCTCTATCTCATTTCCTCCCCACCTCTGTGAAGTGGGGATAATACTTCCCGATTTTCACAGATATGAGGAATAATTTATTAATGTCCATAAGCATTTTGAGATAAGCAATATAGAAGCACCAAGTATAATTTTTGAACCTGTCATTGATTTCAAGCCACACCAGGAATACATTTAATAGAAGCTCCAGCTTCTATAAAAAGATATTCAGTATATTAGAGAATCAGATGCATCTACACAAGGTGAATCTGGAGTCTCCTGAGCCTCTGTTATTGGACAGGCTATATGGGTGATCTCCAGTGCTATTTTCTGTGGACTTATTTCCTCTTTGTCCTGTTTTTTGGTTTCAGTCTTTCTAGTTGTGCTATGCTTATTTATTGGAAGGTGCTTACTTGAATTCACAAGAATAATTTCATGCATTTCCTTAGACTTTGCTACCTCTGCTCTTCCTACAGGGGGACTGAACAGTTATCCTTCTCCAGAACTGCAAGGAGAGTGTGAAACTTTAACTCGAGGAGATGCACAACAGCAAGTAGCTGTTCTAGAGAGGTAGGGTAACTCCTTCTGAATTGTTGCAGTGGTGTGGGGAGTACAATTGCATATGTACAGCCTGTTCTCCTAATAAAAGACCTGTCCCCCTTGAAGGCAATGGCAAAATTCCCATTAGCTTTCATGGAAACAGGTTCAGGCCCCAAGTTCTCCATTAGCAATAACTTGAGTGAATGAGCCTTTTGCACCTTCTTCACATACAAACTATTGCTAAAGTGGGGTATTTCCCCCGCAGGATGCCTTTCCCTGGATTTGGTGGAATTGACGGTGGTGGGAATTTGGAAGAGCTAATGAAAAGCAGAGTGATAGAAGAAATTACAGAAGCCACTCAGGAACCTGTAGATGTCGGACAAGAAGAAAAATATGATTTTGAGGAGGAGTATTTCACAGAGGACAATGCTGAAGAGGCCAAGCTAGAGGAATATGGAGAAGCCCCAGAAAAGAATGACGAAAACTTAGAGGAGACAATAGAAACTGGAGCTGCATATGCTAACTATGGTATGGTTTCTAGGTCCTGAGGCAAAGCCCTTTGAAGTCAGTGGAAAGACTGCTGTTGCTTGCAATGGGCTTTGGCTCAGACTCATAGTATTTAATCAGTTCCCTGGCTTCTTAAGCTTTTTGTTGGCCAAACTAATGAAATACAGCCTAATTTGCTTTGTGCAATTTCCATGTGTGTAACAGAGGGCAGAACTGGTGCTGTCATTTAGTCTTTAACTTGGATCTAGAATGTTTTATTAGAGAAATAAAACTGCAGTTCTAGTAAAACAAAATAAACTGGCAGCTAATTCTTGTCAGTCCAGATTAAACTGAATCCTCAAAGCCTGCTAGGATATTGACACTCTCAGCAAATTGCTCTATTATTAGTGAGCTAACAGGGCTGCTTCTTCTGAACACTAACCTTTCCTGGGACGACGGGCCTTAACATGGGGGACAGTACATCCGTGATTCCACTATCGCTCATTCTTGCACAAGGGCCTGAGTCATCCATCAGGTATGTCCCCATCCAAACAGAGGCTCATCATACCCTGCCAATGATAACCTTTCACTTTCCATCTAGCTGTGTGTATTTCATTGCAGATTTTCTTTATATTATGCAATAGGCTGAAAGTTAAAGATCTGATTACTAGATATATTGTCACAAAAATTCCACAAGAGTTACCCACGTTTAATGTAGTGGTTCCCCCTCACCTGTTTGAAAATCTACAACCCAATAGAATTCCTGTTGACAAAGGGCAGATGCATGGGTGTGGGGAGTGTTTGTATGTTGATCGATTGCTGCAATGCAAATACAATATAATTTACAAGCTGCAGTTTATGGTTCTCCAGTTAATTCATTGATAGTGATATAAACTTCTCAAAAGACTTGTGTAATCTAGCAGTTCCCAAACTTCATTGGTTCACTTACCACCTACTTAAAAAAAAATGTTCCGTCAATTCACTGCATACACTTACCACAGTTTGGGATTCCCTGCTGTAAGGAGCTGTACCTGGCACTGATTTGCAATTCAGCATATCCATGCTGATGAGGAAGAAAGGTAGGATGGAGAGTATGAGATAAAGTTATTGTCCCACACTATTTTACATCCTCCTGTTTGCTTTCCTCATACCTGGCTTTCCTGCTGTGCCAGATTCTGATTTCATGCACTTGTGAAAATTTAGAGTCAATCCTTTGACTTCAGCCGAGTGAGTCTGAATTTACACTGGTGTAAATGTGATCAAAATCTGGCCTGCTACATACCAAATTGCTGCAGGTTACACTACTTATACCTATTTTCTGAACAGCGTATACCCAATCTAACTTATCACCACTGAACTTGGATCAGAGACTTTCATGGATTTCTCCTGTTAAGCATGGCCTTTGGTGTCCTTTTCTGGAAGGAAGATGTGTTGGTAACACCTCTTTATGAACACATCTACAATAGGATAAAATAAGAACAGTTTTTACATAGTTAAGACAGTTCATGCTAATGTGATTTGCCTGATCACTATAGACCAGGTATAACTGTTTTATAAACCAGCCTAGACACTAAAACCATATGGCCTTACTTTTCTCCCTTCACTTCTGTTTTCCTAGCTCCGCTCATTTCAAAACCTCATTAGTTGAAGTGAGAGTAGAATCGTGTCCCCTCCAACCAACCATGTTCTAGAGAGACAACATGTTCTCTAGTAAGACCCGAGAAAGCTTACTAATTCTTTTGTCTGCCAGCTTGAATAGAATATTCTTTGCCTCTGAAGTACCAGCTCTGATGATTTTGGTTCTCTCCCTCACAAACTTTAACCATAACCTTTATTTGCCTTTTTTAGATGCTTGTGCAGTGGATCATGATGGAGGAGAGTGTCAAGATTACGATCTGAAGTGGTATTATGACAAAGAGCAGAAAGTCTGCAGTCCATTCTGGTATGGCGGCTGTGGAGGCAACAAAAACAGATTTGAAACTCAAGAGGAATGTGAAGCCTTGTGCATAGCATCTTCCTAGAGTGGAGACAGTCAAACCACTTCACTTCAGCTATGCTGTAAGGACAATGGGGGAAAAGAGATTAAAAGAAAAAGCTCTAAGTTAACAATACTGCTTCTAAATTTCAGGTAAAACAAATACATTCTTATTAAAATCCATGTGGCAAGAGGGCATTTTTACTTGTTTCTTACCTGCTAACTGAATAATGAAAATGGAGTTACAAAAATTGTTCAGTTGGCCTGATTTAGGAAGAACTGATCTAGGAAATATTATTTTCTTAGCCAACAGTGCATTATTTAAAAGGGTAAGGTAAAAATTAATACTAACACTTGATATTGCTCCATATCACCAAAATGTGCACTTTTTAAATGTACTGAAGAAAATAAATCAATACTTCAGACATTTTTATAAAATAATATTGGAGGTGAGATGTTGATGTCAAAGTGTTTTGGTTCATTGGTATGAATTTATTTTACTTAAAGAATGGACCAAAACAACATTTTAGCTCTCAAAAGATGTAGAACTATGACAGGTCCCTCTGGTCTATGTCTAATGTAGCCTCATTCTTAGCCTTTTTTTAAAGAACCCAATATGAATAAATTCATTCTGCCTAAAATATTAAGGTGTGTGCCACTGTGTTTGTTAAAATTGATTTTGACAGCCTTGTAGATTGGCTTCTCAGCGCATATAAATCAGCATAGCTCAAATTCCTTTCACTGAGGGATCAATACACAGATGAAATGCCAATGATTGTGTAGGACAAGTACAGAAGAGTTAGGTCATTAGTGTTTGGTACTGCTGTGAAAGCCATGTATTTTTCTTTAAAGTACAAAGAATTTCAGGTAGGGTTTGTTTTTGGTTTTTAAGTGCACATGCTACGACTTTTAGAGCCTGTTCATGATGCTACCTGGCACTGAGTTTTATTGCCCAGTGGAACGATGTGGCTTTGCAGCTATAGGTGCTAGATGCACAAAGGGATTTATGTGCCTAACTGCCATTTTAGCCTCCTAAATCCAGAATTTAGGTCCTCAAAACCCTAACTCACTAGACACCTTCAAGGACAGGTGACAAAATCCTTAGGCACCTTAAATTTTGCCATTGAGCATGCACACAGTGCCACTGTCCCGACACCTGGACACCCGGCTCATACCTAAGGCCCAGCAGGATGCTCAGACTGGGTATTCCCTGTCTAGCTCACCTGTGGGGCCTAATCAGGTTGGTGTTCTCAGAGGACACTTAACACATCAGGCCATGCACAAAATATCAGAGGAAGATATGGTTCCCTTATGACCTTTAATGCAGTGGGTAGAGCACTCCCCAGAATGTGGGAGCCCCAGGTTCAAATCATCCCTTTGCCTGATTTGGAGCAGGGATTGGAATCCCTATCTCCCACCTGGCAGGAGTGTGCCCTAACCGCTGGACTACGGAAAATTCTTGGGTGGGGCTCTTCCAATCTCTCCTGCTCAAGCGGTGCCATGTTGTGTAAATAATTAAATAAATGGTCATTGGATTTGAGTCTCTGACATCCCAGGCGAGCACCCTAGCCATTGGGCTATAGAGTCACTCGCACTCTTTTTCTGGCCCAATGGATATTTAATTACTTACACAAAGTGGAACAGCTTCAACAGGACAGACAGAGAGAGACCTGACCCAGAATACCCTATATCCTAGTGGTATTGGCACTCTCTGGAGAGGTGGGTTCCAATCCTTGCTCCATATCAGGCAGAAGGGGATCTGCACCTTGATTTTCCATATCCTCAGTGAGTGCTCTAGCCACCGGGCTAAAGGTTAAGGGGTGGGGAGAGGCAGTGGCAATACCACCACCATTTTTTTGCAAGAAAGGGCTTAGGCGCCCAACTCTAGGAGAGGAATCAGGACTTTGAGGGGCTGGGCGTAGGCCACACTCCTCTGCTCAGCATTTCCTCTTGGCTAGCTTAGGTGGCTCCCCACTCAGCATGCATCCTATTCTTCGGTGCCTAACTCTCCCCTTGCAGTGTATTGGGAGCCTGTGCGCTCAGCTTGAGGCTGACTTTCATTAGGCAGCAAGGCACCTGAAAGAAAGTGAGGCAACACAAAGCCTAAATCCACTTTTTGTGGCTCTTGCCCATAGCATCCTATTTGAGACAGTATGCAGCTTGCCCCACATCAGTGGTGGCCATATAGCACTTACTATGCAATCTAGACTCCCTCCTGGAGGAGGTGGCACAGTGATATCACCCACCAAATGGTATCCATTTGTCTGCAGCTGGAGAGTATTGGATTGTGGGATTGGATTGTGTGTGGGGGGAGGGGGCCTGATACTCTGTGTTGATTAAGAAATCAACAAACTATTTCTCTATTTAAAAACCTGATGCAAACATGTTCTAAAGCCTACCCCGCTGAAAGATTCAGGCCTATCTTAAAGCCTCAAGGCCTCCTGATCTCCTATGGTGAAAGTCAGTAATGCCACTGAAATGGGTCAGGGTTGCAGCAGGATATTCATAGAGTTCAAGGCGAGAAGGGAACAGTAGATCTAGTCTGACCATCTGTATATCACAGGCCATTCACTTTCACCCAGACTACCCTGTATTAAGCCCAGTAATTGTGTATAACTGAATCCCTAACTTGTTTAGTTAAAGCAGACCTTCCAGTAAGGCAACCAGAAATCCATGGTAGCAAACTCCAAGCAAGGATTGGGGTCTAAAGAGCCTGATTTCCCCCCTGAAAACGGTGTGAGTCATATGTATGTTCATTGATGTCAAAGGAGTTACCCCATGTAGGCTTGGAAAGATTTGATTTTAAATTAGTAAATGTCAATTTCAACATGCACACAAACAGATGAAAAAAATATTTCCACTGGTAATAATCAAAGTTTACAGATAAGCAAGAAAAATGCTACTTGAGAACTAGAGTTTGATTTAAGGATATTTACTTTGTATATCTTGACAGGTGGTGTTGACCATGTTTTAACCAGGTGTGCAGCTTTGACTTTTTGAATCTCAATGTCTCATTAAATAATTGCCTGACCCCACCCCATTTATTATGAACATTTAAATAAAAAATTGGGGAAAAAATGCTTAGACAGATCCATCATATTACAGAACAATACAGATTGAATTCTGCCAAGACTACCCTTATAAAAGTGGGATCAGCATCAAACCCTCAGTGAAAGATTTTACTATTAAACGTTACTTACTATTAAACGTTAATAGTCCAGATGGGAGCCTGAAACCACTACAAATGTTCATTTGCAGAACTGGAATTTAGTTTGTAGAACAAAAATAAATGTGCATGTGTTACCAAGCCGTCCAAGCACAAAGAAGCCACACAATCTTTCTGTTTCCTTTGACTGTGAGAACTGAAGTACATATTTTAACAATCCTTTTTATTTAATTAATGTAATACTTGTGATATGTACCAAACTGACAGATTGGGAAATTAAGTTCTCTATCCATTACAAGAAATGCCAGTGTAAACAGTCATACATGGTACTCCCTGTTATGCTAAGAATCAGTTTCTGGAGAGTTATCTTGTGAGGTAGAAAGGCAGTTAAATCACCCCTGGGCCTTTCTGAGACTGTCAGTTTGGTGGTGGTAGGGGTTATATAGGCATTATCAACCTATGACTAACATCTCACATACATAGATTTATAAAAATGTTTTAGCATAAATTGGCCAACCAGTGCTGACGGGACCAAACAGTGTCAGAAACATGATCTAGTTTAGGAGCCAAATTAAACACTAGCATAAAAGAATGCAACTCAGTTGATTCAAATTGGGTTCATGGGTTGGTTTCAGTAGAGTTTAATTCCAGAGATTGCTGTCATGTCCACTGAACTCAAAATAATTGTTTGCTTATGCTGGCAAATAAATTGGCCATGTGTGTCTCTCTGCTTAACAATCCTCAGAAGTATCCAGTTCGCTGGCTCTTTTCCCCATCTTAAAATCAGCAATAACAGTTTCAGTATAAAAACACTGCCACTTGAAAGCTTGAAATGTAGGTGATGAGAGAAGGAGATAAATCAGACAGTTTCCTCCAAGTTATATATTTACATGCAATGTCTACAGATATATTTAAACTGGAAAACTTTGGTGCAAGTTCTCTTAGAAGATTCTGGCAATGTTATGTGCAGTTCCTCAGTTAATATCAGGGTGCCAGCATTCTCTTTGAATTGGCTATTATCCTTTTGTGCTTAGATTTGACTAAATCTGGTTAACACACAGAGCCAAACTCTGATATCAGTTACTTAAGTGCAACTGCACTGAAACGGATGGGCTCAGATAATACAGCAACTGATGTGGCATAAGAACTTGAATAATACAGCAACTGATGTGGCATAAGAACTTGAATATAAAAGAAACAGTGGAATTGTATTGATATAACTGATAGCAGAAAATGTCTTGAAGTGTAATACCCAGGAAAATATACCAAAACCTTCCTAAAAATAAAGAATTAAAAAAAAAAAACCCTTATATTATTCTCCTCTATTGTTACTGAACAGCAGTCTACTATATTTACTGTGAGCTTGATCCTGGAAGTTTTCCCCACTGATTTCTCCAGATTTGGCCCTGACACAGGTTCTAACAGAGTTTACAAAATGCACGCTCACAGTTTGCCATGTTATTACCTCTGACAGATAAAGACACTTCGTGCTAGTTTCCAAATTCATTGGAAACAATTCTATGTATACTGACTGATGGGATAGAGGTGCTCATATGCAACATATGGATAGAACACCACACAATACGATATGTGACTGTTGTGAGGTACATACAAGCCAGAAGAGGCAAAGTTTTCAAAAGTGCCTAAGGCGGTTGGGCACCAAACTTTAAGACACATGAAAGATCTCACCCTAGTTGCATAGCTAGGCATAAGACCAAATTCAGGTGACATCAGCACCATCAGCAGGGTGTCCCACTGCAAACCCTAGAGTATCATTCAATTAGAAAACAGCATAATAACCTACTCTGACTCTGTAAAAAGTAACCCAAGAAGTTCCACGCTGTGTGGCTGCTGTCCTGTAATCACAAGACCATATTCTAAGTCCTTTGTTTAAACGCCCATTGACTTCAATGGAACACTTAAAGAAATGTTCTGTAGCTATTCTACCTATTCTATATGCAACCACTAGGATTCTATATAAGCTATTCTTAGACCTATAGTGAAATAACCTTTCCATAATATTTTTATGATATTAACATTCTTAATCAAAAGACTCAGCTTTCAGAGAGAACATTGCTTGTTCTGGAAGTTCAAACCTTATGTCTGCAAGAGGCTCCTAAAGGAGAGACTTCCTCACCATCCAGCTACAGGCCAGCCTTCTCTTGCAGCAATGGCAGGGGTTCTGAGGACACTCTAGCCCAGTGTTTTCCAACCCGTGTGCCGTCGGCCCAAACAGGCTGCTGCGGAATTTTTTGGAAAAACTCCATGTGAGCACAAAAACCCTTCCTTTGTTTTAATTAGTATCAGAGCCGGATCGCAGTCGGTCCTTTTGCTCTCCTGGACGAGGCCCCTTTCAAATATTATACATGTGTCACATTCCATTCCCTAAAGCGAGGTTCAGAGAGCAAATCTGAGTCCTGCAGAATGGGGACAGGAAGAGGAA